GCCATATTTTCTTTTTCCTTTCTGTTACGTCTGCTTCTCTACGTTAGCATCATCAGACTACGCTGCCATCTCGCGCACCATCAATACCATGTGGGTGTGTGTGTATACATTAATATATATGTTGACTTAGGAATATGAAATTAAGAAAAATAACCGCAGTAAGTTCATCATAAATAATAACTATTAAAAAACGTTTATCAAATATTTAATATGATACAATCGATACAACGAAGTTTTTATATTATTGTTATTATTATTATCATCGATTTTAGATTGCATATTATATTTCTATAGTTCTATGGAAAGTTATAATAGTGATGTTTAAGATAAAGCCTATCTTGTCTAACTACATGTATGCAGGGCATCTTCCGCTTTTTCTTTTTACATTTTTCTTTTTGAGAGTAATTGCAATCAGCATCTTCTTTTCTACTCAGATGAATCGTCGTCTTTACCATCATGACTAGATAGTTTTCTTCCCCTTTTTCTTCCTTTTGAGAGACTCCGACAGGTGAAATCATGCTCTTTGCCTATAACTGTTGTGTCTGATTGAAATACTGAAGAAAGCAAAAAAGAAAAAAAAAAAGGAAGAAAGAAAGAAGGAAGGAACGATAGAAGACAACAAAGAAACGAAGTCTCTCCTCCCTACTAATTACTCGGTCCTTTCTTTTCCTCTTTCTCTAGCATTCGCTTGCTTGCCCATTTGTCTAATGAAAAAAAAAAAAAGCAAGAAAAACAGAAAAGAGAAAAGAATGAACATTATTCGAGTAAGTAACATAGAACAAGTTTGTCACGTCATGTTTGTGAGTGATATTGATAAACAACTAAATTATATCGATAAAGAAAAAAACAAAAAACTTTGATGTTCTAAGTCGTATATTTACAATGAATAGACCAATCAGATCATTTAATATTGCCAATAGAAGTAGTATTCTTGGCTCATCTATTGTTTAAATGTCTGATAGAAAGTGTGTGCGTTTCTATGAAGCAACACGCACACATAATTCTCATTTCTAAAGGAAGAAGAAGAAGAAGAGAGACTCACACAATTCCCTTTTTTTTTTTTCTTTTTTTCTTCTTCTATTATTTCATATTAAGTGCATAGAATAATTAAGTCTTAGAAGTTCAAATGATCAATAGTTTTCTGGTTTTAAATATAACCAATTTATAAAAATAGATTTTTTTTGTTATGTTCTATGTCGTTTTTCTTAACGATAATGACAATGATAGTTGTCACGCCTTGTGATTGATGAGTGGGCTTGTGCACTAGCTATTTTTGTCTAGATTTCTTTTTTTACTATTTGAGATAATTGCTAACTAACTGCTAGGATTTTCGGATGGAACGAGATGATTTTAGTAGTGCATCATCATCTTTGCTTTTATATATATATATATATTGCGTTTTGTTGTTCCTTCAAGCTACTGTTCTCTCATTTTGTGTGTATGTTTATTCTATTCATGTCTATTGCTGATATTATGACAATAAATGATGATGATGATGATTATAGTGCAAACAACCTTGTTGCACTAACTAATCCCTTGAAGACACATAGGTAATATGAATCTAAAAAGAATTCTAACACGAGAGATAGAAAAAAAAGCTGATTGAAAATGCATTTCATATTAGATCTTATTTGTTATTTCTTTTTTAGATGATGATCAGTATCTGTCGACTATTGTCTTGATTCTAAAGATAGATATATATCGGCACATATAAAATACAGCTTTCAATCATTCAAATTTGAGATCAACCTGTGTGCCGTTGTCTATTTCTTTTTTTTTTTTCTTTCTTCCGCTACATGGTAAGTCATGATAATGATGATGATGATGTGACAAAGAGGCAGTGAAAGAAGAATATGTAGTATAAGCCGCAATAAGAAAATAACATGTCTGTAGTCAGTCAAAAGCATCTCATTTTTTTTTCTTCTTCTTTTTACACCAACTACTTGCATTTAATATACTAAAACCAGATCTACAAAAACAAGAAACCTTGCTTACGAAATAAAAAAAAAATGTCCTTATTAATAGGTCTATTTTCTTCTACTTCTAGACGCCTCAATGAACGCTAACAATAAGCGAAGGCGATCGTCGTATTATGTTCGTCTTTTACAAGGAGACCTCTCGAACATTGAAGTACTCACCAATTAGGTATGTTATCAATTCCGTTTTCTTTTCTTTCTTTTTGTTTTGTTGTTGTACATACCATTATATGATATATGTACGTATGTTGACAACTAATATTTCATTTATTCAAACTATTCTATATACTAAGGATATAAAGAAAATGTTTTTGTTTTTATTTTCGTTTCAACTTAAACATAAAACAATTATCGTGTGTGAAAATGTCACATCATATTTCTATTGTTTTTTTGTATCGAACATTAAAGTAAATTTACACTTCATATCCTCTATAAACGTGTGTACACTTGCAGATGACGCGATTCGAAAAATATGTGCGTGATTATAAAGAATAGGAAGAAAGAAAAAGACACAAAGAAAAGAGTAATCTAAAAAAGAAGTAAACTTGCAAGTCGTTAGGCCACATCAAAATGTCTCTCTTAATGCGTTTTTTTTTTATTTATATACATCTAAGTGAACATCTTCATTTGAAAGGAGGTCATGCGTAGATCCTCTTTTCTCGCATTGGACATAGAAGAAGAGCGGCAAAGATAGACATAGAAAGACAGAGAGAAGAAGAAAAAAAAAAGAAAAGGCGAAGAGGCAATGAAAGAATATGAGATCTATGATGATGACGTTGATCACTCTTCTCATCCTATATACTAAAAAAGAAAAGATTACAATATGTGTGAAGTTATTATTTTTATGTTGTTTGGATTAGACTTATGTGCCATTTAGTTCAAATAAATTTTTTTGCTTTTTTTTTTCTTATTTTGTTTTGTTTTTTAGGAAAAATAGAAACGCATCAAGTTTATTATTAAGTACTTCATTAACAGCATCAGCAGCACAACATTGTCGCTGCTATATTCATTCATCTTCACCGCCCTATTCGGTGCTGATTTTTTCAGCTGCCGACATCCTTTTCCGGCTCATAGAGGGTTTTGTCGGTCAAGTCGAAGACGTGCAAAAGAATTGTTTCCGTCAAGTAAGAAACGACAATTGAAAGAAAATAATTATGAAATAAAAAAAAAAAAGAGAAAAATTCCTTTTTTTTTTAAACAGATTATGAGCACACGCCAATCGAATCAAGAAAATTCATCTATTTTCGACAGTAATCGATCACGCCGTCAACAACCAACACCTTCAAATATACCTTCAAATCAACAACAAGAACCACTTAATTCTTCTCCATCTCATAGTGATCAAGCCTCAAAAGCCTGTTGTTTTTGTTGGTGTTGCTGTTGCTCCTGTTCGTGGTATGTATATTAAAAATGTGTTCCCTTTTTTTCATCCCATTATAAACGTAATACCCTGTTGATCATGCACATTATTTATATAAAAATAAAATACATGTATATATATATATTTGTATGTTGCGCTGCGCAGAAATTCCTAATCTTTTCTATGAGTCGTTTGTCTACCTATATTTTTCGGATCTGTACATAATCGTCTTTGTTTTTTTTCTTCTCTATCTGTCTTGCTTTAGACGTGGGTCTCCTCATCATCACATATTGACAGACAGCAGCATTATATTTATACATACAAAAATTGGTCCCCTACTCCTCTTCAGTCCTCCTGGTGAATTTGCGCGTTTGTAAGCGCGCATGTGCATGTGAAAAGAACATGATTAAAAATTCCAAGTTTCACCCATTCGGTTCCATACGACGTCGTCAAAAGTATGTTCTTTTTTTTATTCGTTCTTATTAACTTTAATTCTTCTCTCAATAATATTTTATATTGATGCTGCACTTTATTTTTTTTTTGTGTCTTGCGAAAAACATTATGAGGAGACCCACGCTTGCCAAATATCATTTCCGTTTCGGAAAGATAAGAATAATAGTTAGTTTACTTTCATTATTATTGTTGTTGTTGTTGTCGTTGTCCAATGAGTCTTTTTTTTTTCTTGCTTTTTCGAAAGTCAAACATAGGATACACACTTGATCATAGAGTATAAACTCTAATTTCATTTCTATTGGGAAACGATGTAAAAGTGGCTTGCCGCAGTGTTCAATAATCTGATAATGAAGCAACTACATATCGCGACCTCTTTAGCACTGAGATTTCTTCTTCTTCTTTTTCTCTTGTCATGTAGCTATCAATTTGTCGGCCGAAAACGAAACGCTTTTCCTTCTCCTCTTTTTTTTCTACCCATTCTTAATCGGATTAAGGATATAACTACCCTTTCTCTTTTTTTTTTCTCTTTTTACCCAGTCTTTTTTTTTCTCGACTTACATTGATGGTGTTTCGCTTATGTTAGAAATAAAAAAAGAAAAGGGAAAAAGTGTTCAATGTCGTCGTCTGGCATTCTCGTCTTGTCGTCGGTTTTTTTTTTTCATTCCAGACTTGTTATTAGCTAAATCATGTTAGTAAGCAAGAAGAAACACAAGCGGACGAGTGCGAGTACGAGCGCGCGCAAAAAAAACTGGTTGGGCCTACGCTTGTCTCGCTCGCCGGGCCTGTCTTTGATGTGATGTTCTCGTTGATGGCGAAAGACTAAGCAAAAAAACTGAGAGAAAAAAAAAAAAAGAACATGTCACTCTCGTTTTGTGTTGTTTCTGACGGTAGTAGTAAGGATGATGATCGTGTTGGAGCTTTGACTATTACTATCGTCATCATCTCAATATTGCCGAGTGCGCGCGCGTTAAAAAAAAAAGAAAAAGAAGACGAAGAAAAAGAAGAAGAAAGAGAAGAATTAATAATAACTTTTTCCTTGTCGACGGCAACGATGGTCTATGGAATCCGAGCGGCATCCGCCGTCATCATCATCATCATCATCGTTGTTGTCGCATCATCATGACTTTTCAAGTCTGGTCTCGTGGCCACATCATTGGCAGCCGGAATCGTTTGAAATAACAACGAACAATACCTCAACTATTGATTCACAAATGACTCAAGTTGTGCCTGAACACGTGGCTCGTGCCAAAGTTGTTAGTGGAAATACGAATTCTCGAAAAGACAATAGTACAAGTCAAAAAAATCGTTCACAACGTTCAAATTCTGCTACATTAAGTGCGATATCCGTTACATGTGATACAGATATTTCAACACGAACACGTAATAATCATTCTCAACAAATTTCAACTAAAAAATCTCCTCATTTGTTTACAACAACAAATAATATAGCGGCATCTCGTTCAACATCAGCATTAACAAATGTTTCTATTATACCTCCAAATTCCTTTAATAATCATCTACAACAACAACAACAACAACAACAACGTAAAACATCTATGTCAGCAGCATGTGAAATAAATATTATACATGAAAAACCAAATATAGTTTCATCAGCATCAACTATGTCAATACCAAATAAACATTTGATTAAAACAACAACTGGTGCTGTTGGCGGAACACTACCATCAGTTAAAAGTCTATCTATAAAACATAAATCAACATCATTTGATGATCATCGATCAACACGTGGAATCGGAAAAAGTGTTCTCGAACATCTTGTCTTTGTCTTTCCGGAAAATGTTCGACGAATACTGTCAGGACCAAAAAAGTAACCAGCAAATAGAAAGTTCTTCGTTCTTAGACATTGTCGTCTTCTTCTTCTTCTTTTTCTTTTTTTTTCCCCCATCTAAACATCGATTATTAAATATATATAGATATTGATTTATTGCTTGTTTTTTTTCTGCTCTAGTTTAACCGTGCGCACCGACGAAGGCCGTCCACCTGTTGAACCTATTGATTTAGGCGAACCGTAAGAATTGTTTATTTCTCTTTCTTTTTTTTTTATTAAATAACTAATTGTTAATTTTCTAAATATGTAGACCATCGATCGACGAAGTTAAAAGTTGGTCGGAATCATTTGACAAATTAATGATGAGTCCCGGTAAGTCATATAACGAAATTTGAAAATTTTAATTAGTTAATTTATTTAATTGAAACGTTTATGACATAATAATTTATTTAAAGAGTATCTCGAAATAGAGCGAGAAGACGGAAAAATACTTTGAAGTTATTTAAGAATATTTATATGTACTAATCTAATTTGTATTTAATATTTAGCTGGTCGGCATTATTTTCGAGAATTCCTACGATCAGAATATAGTGAAGAAAATTTTTTATTTTGGATGTCTTGTGAATCTTTAAAAAATGAACAAAATCCTGATATAATAGAAGAAAAAGCAAGATTAATCTATGAAGATTATATATCTATTTTATCTCCGAAAGAGGTAAGAATTTAAAAAAAAAACAAAAATAAAATATTATTATTATATATGACATATTAATGTTTTCTTGTTTTTTCAGGTAAGTTTAGATAGTCGTGTGCGCGAAGTAATTAATAAAAATATGGTTGAACCATCTCCGCATACATTCGATGAAGCCCAATTACAAATATATACATTAATGCATCGAGACTCTTATCCACGTTTTATTAATTCACATATGTACCGGCGATTATTACGTAATGAAGACGTTAAAACTTGACTTTCAACATCATTGTCAACCCGGTTTTCCTCAATCTATTCTATTTAAATTGTTTTCAAATTTTCTTTTTTTTTTTTTTCTTTTTTGTTTGTTTGTTTATTTCAAATCCTAAAACATTTTTGTTTGTCTTCACGACACATTCCACAGTGTGGACGCACCATTGTCGCGTGTATGCGCTGACGACATAGAACCAAATGAAGTCTTTAATCTACAAAGGAGAAAAATCAAAAAAAAAATATCAGATGTCCTACGATATCATCGCCGCTATTGAATCAAAGTATTTCTATATATGTATATTTTTCTACAAAATATTTCGTCATTGCCTAGACATATAATTTCTTTTTCATGCGCGCGCGACATTCGATTCCCCGTCTCTCAACTGTGATGAATTCATCTTTTTTTTTTTGTGTTTTGTTGTGTATGTATGTGTATGCGCATTTTTCTTCTTCTTCTTCTTAGTCGTCTCCGTCTGCATTTAAACGAACAGTGACATTGAATGCTGCAGCATGTATGTGTTTGTTTGTTGCTTAAAAACGCAAAAAAGATATCTTTGAAGATCTTAGATTGATGGCATTCATGTTTTTTTCTTGTTTTTCTTTTTTGTATAGTTGATTGTTGTTCATTCTTTCTTTTTTTCTTTCTTTTCTACATCACTGTGTTGACTTCTATTGTCAAAAACCAAATTTTGGGACAGTATACAAAGAAAAAAAAAGAAGAAAATATGAAAAAATAATTTATCAAGGGTTTTTTTTTATACAAATTTTAAAGATAATTCAGATATAATAGAGAATATTATAATAATGATTTGACAATATTGAAATGATGATGTTGATCTAAGTCTATTTAAATAATATTATCCTTTTTCTTTTTCTTTTTTTTTTTTAATAATATCATAAGAAAATTTACAAATTTATTTCTTATTTAACTAAAATAAAATTAATTGGATATATTGTATATTATATTGAATCTAAATATAAAAATTCTATTAATAATAAGAATATGTGTTGATAAATGTAATGAACCATTAAATCTAGATCATAAAATGTTTATTATTGCGTATAATATTGATAGTTTATTTTGTTAACAAAAAAAAAAAAACAAAAAAAGAAACTTATATTATCATAATTGACTAGTATTTGCGTTGTCTTTTTTTTTTCTTCTTCTTATTTCAGTAATAAGCAAGAAAACAAAAAGAAAAGATGTCAATAGAAACAAATCATATTATTATGTGATATTTGACTTTGAATATTTTTATTTTATTATCAAACTAAAGACTTAAGTTTAACAATGTCATAATGACCTTGTCAAATACTTTAATTATTCTAAAACAATTATCCTTTACTATTATCAAAGATGAAAATCTAACATCTAATAGAAGAAGAAGAAGAAGAAGAAGAATACCCCTGCCTTTCGGCTACCTTGCAGTGTGGGGTGCTGTCCAAGGACAGTTTCGATAAGCCCGATGTTTTTCCTACATCTATTGCTAGATGTAGCTCTGGTCAGAAGGCCAGCCTGACGCAAAGTTCTTCCCGCTTGATTAAGCTCCCCAACACCCTGACTAACCACATACTAGTCGCAATGACTATTAACATCTATACTCATATATTTAACTAAAATTCTTTCGGCACAAAATTTTTAATATAATTTAAAATGATTTTTTTTTTATTCTTACACTTTTAAATAGGACAAAAATTACTCTAACAAATATTCATTATTTGATAAAATACTTTCCTAAAATAAAAATTAATTAACTATAAGATGTTTAAAGATATTAACACATATTTAAGATCTATTTATACTTTTTATTTAATACAAGAAACAAAAAAAAAAAGACATTCATATCTAACATCTAATATATATAATGATGATTTCAAGTGAACAAAGAATAAAAGACTAGATAGGTTAAATTTGAAACAAAATAATTATTTTGATTGAAAATATTTTGAATCAATTGAATAACTAAAATTTAAAAAATGATTACAAAAATAAACAAAAAAAAGATTACTAACTTTTCTTTATCAAGATTAAATCGAACACAACGACGTTGAATTGATAATGTTGGTGATGTTTGTATAGCAACATCAATTTTTTGATTATCATTAAGCTAAAAAACAAAAAACAATGATTAATTTAACATGATTTGAAGTATATCATTAAATATTCAAAACAAAATTAATATAAATACTTAGTTCATATTCAAGAATAGTTAAGAACTAATTTTAACTTTTACAAAAAAAGAATAATTATAAACATATTTAACTTTATATTTTTTTTTACAACAATATCATCAAATAAAATAAAAAACATCAAGTATATTATCAAAAATTTGAATATGTTCTTATTTTCCGTTTATTCTTTCTACTCTATCTTATCAAATATATCTATAAATTATTTTTCATAATTAAACATATAATTTATAATAGATGAAATATCATAGCATAGATTTATTCAATAGAATAATAAAAAGAATTTTATGATATGAAAAGAATCAAATTTAGATTACTAGACAACATTATATCAATGAGAATGATGTCATAAATAGAATTCAAAATCTTAGAATAAAAATAATATTCTTATAAGTTGTTCTATTAAAAAATTACTAAATGTATTTATTCAATTAATTAATAAAAAAAAAAAAAAAAATTTACATTGAATGAAACTTGTAAATTTTTTGTTGTATATTCATCAATTAATTGTTTTATTCTATCATTAAGATGAATAATATGTGATTGATATTTATGAAGTGTTTCATTTTTTGTTAATAATTCTTTTGTTTTATCTGATAACTAAAAAAAAAAAAAAATATAAAATGAAATTTTATTTAGTTTTTTTTTTTGGAAAAAAAAAATTCATTACTTTTTCTTGAGAAATTTTTAAATGTTTTTGTAATTTTCTTATTAATTCACTACCTTCATTTAATCGAATACTTGCATCATTAGCAAGTATTTGAAGTTTTTCTAATTTATCTTCATATGCTTTTATTTTAATTAATTTACGTTGTTTATTTTGATTTATTTTTAATCGTAATTGATAATTTTCTTTATGTAATATTATTAATTGTTCATATTGAAGATTATATAATGTTTGATAATATTCACGAATATTATTTAATTCTTGTAAATTATTATTTTCTGTCATATCTAGAACTAATTAAAAATAAATAAATCAACCAATAAAATATATTTTTATTTTTTGCTGTTATATATCGAACTCAAAATATTCAAATTATCTCATTGTTTCAATTTAGAGGGTAAGAGAAAAATATCTTGATCAGTTCCATTATTCATTATGGTTATCAATTAACATGGTGCACATATCTAATAATTTCGTCACCATCGTTAATCATTTTGATTGGAGAAATGTAATGAGAGAGAGAGAAGAAAAAAATAAGTAGACGTTTCTCTAACTTGTTTATATACATACATGTATAAATGAATATTTCATTCGTTAAGGGAACAGAAAATTGAAAAAAAAAAAAAAACATGTTTTTTACACCCTATTATAATGAACAAGTCTTAAATGAAGTAAAGGTAAGATAATTTAAATAAAAGTTTGTTGAATATATTAAGATTTTTGTAATATCTAGTATGATATTCAACGTAAGGATCAGTATATTACTCGTTGGCAAAATTGTTTAGAGAATATTTATTCTGATGATCGAAGCTATAAGAGATGTTCTGAGATGATATGTGTAATATTAGATACGTTCTAATATTATTATATATTAATATTAATTGTATTTAGTAGTTAAAATGATAAGCCAAAGTAACAAACTAAGAAGAGAACCTCACTAAGTGCTTTCATACGATGTTAATGATTTGTTTTTTTTTGCTTACAAATATTATGTAGATGAGTCAAAAGCTATGAATAAGAAGGCGCTTTTCGAATATGGGCTTAGAAATTTCGTACTTTTCAAGAAAATGTGATATTTAACTAAACTGTAACTTTTACCTGAGCATGTTTTCAAAAACAGAAATTGAAGTGTCTTGTTGATAGACAAAAAAAGAAACGTCGAATAGTGTATTTTGTATGGTAATTGCTGATCTATAAATTGATACATAAATAAAGATTTTAACTTTAAGTTTCGAATTACAATAGTAAAAATAGAAAAATGTTCTGTCTAAATTAGTTATTCGAAATTTTCAAAAATAATTTCACGCAGAAACTTAGACGAAATTTCTAAGTTCATACTTGAAAACAGCATTCTAACTCATAGTTTTTGACTTATTGAAAATATTTTCTAGCCAATCAAAAATGAAAAAAAGATCTTGTCTAATTAATCCTAAAAGGATATAGATTTCTATTGAGATTGAACTATTTTATCAAGTTTTATTTTTTTGCAGAGACTTTAGATTTTCCGAACGCTTAATTCGATAGCCTCAATAAAAACTCAATTCTTATTATAACACAATATAGTATCTATAGGCATATAACATCGATCAAATTGAAGGAAGTCGGTAGGATGTGGATGTATGGATAATCAAAAAGGATTCAGCAATTTAAATATACTATTTTCACAGATAGAAAAATTATGAATGTTTACTTCATAAAATTTGTCATATATATATATATAGTTTATAAAATTGATTTCATTCTGTTTTCTATTCGTTTCTTCAATTAGCAACTAATTTTTACTCTGTATAGATTGTGCTAACAGAATTTTTTTTTTTTTTTGTTTTCATATTTAGAATGATACTAGTACAATTACCACTAATAGTAATAATAATAATAATACAGCTCAAATACAACATTCAACAATAAAACCTTGTAAACAATTACCTGAAAAAGCTGTACGTTTAATGAATGCATGGTATACAACACATGAAGATAATCCATATCCAAATCGTAATGATTTAGATTATTTAGCAACTAATGGTGGAATTAAAGAATCACAAGTTAAAGCATGGTTTTCTAATAAACGTAATCGAACACAAAATACACATCCAAAACGTGCAAAACGTTATCTTGTACGAAGTCAAACACAACAAAATTCAACATTA